CGAGATTATAATCCATCAAATATTTTCGCTTGCGCGCGATTGGTCTAAACGCGTCACGTGACCGAATATTCCCCAGATAAAACTGGGGAATGTCCGAGAATATTCCCCAATTTTCAAAACTGCGCGCGTTGCGAAAAAGATTTGAAGAATAAGAAACACAATAGCCTCCATTTACGCTCTCGGAAAACTGTCCGCTTCTCGGAAAAGATAATGTCCGCGGACAAATATCCGAGCATATTTTCGCACCAAATGGAGGCTATTGTTTATATATAACCACGTTAATATGTGCAATAGATTTGTAAAAGTCTGTTGCTCTTCAATAAAAAAGATGTGGAGGCCTATAAAAATAGTATTCAGTTAAAAATCCTGCGCGATTCAAATTGTTCAGTTTTCATCGTGAAACATTAAGTCTGCGGACAATTTCCACATTTCTAGTCGGCAGTTTTTACAATAGCGTCAGCTAATACAGAACTTACCTCTGCCTCTTGCCACACATATCAGGGAGGATCTCTCTCAAGTACAGGATTTCAAGCCTCAAAAAGAGGTCACGTAGGTATTGTTACGAGAAAGGTTGTACATAATATTGCCCAGCAATATAACATGAAAAAAAAAAAAATGTCGCCCGTTACTCAAGGATGCTTTTTCACGATTACGCCACAACTCTGCATCAAATGTTCCACTTGGAAGAGTGTTGCACTGCGTTTTAATTTAATGCCCCTTAAGCAGTCATCATAATCTCAAACAATAGCAGTTTTCTAGATCATTGCACCGGTCCAATCCTAACTTATAGTGAACATAAACTGACACTCTGAGGTTTGTGTCATGAATATTCATCCTCAGTATCAACGCTCGTTGAAGTTCCGCAAGAAACACAACTATCATAGTCTAGTATTCGTTTAAGGAGCCGACAGCGAGCACAAAAAAAAACGTCTATTTTTCAAGGTGAGGTATTGATTTCCCAGTACGGATATAGCTTGATATTATTTGAGTTCTCTTGCATGATAATGTTTCAGTACTTACTTCATTGGAACAGTATCTGAACGTAAATATTTCTGTCTGGTATTTTTACGACAAGTGGCGAATGTTAACTCGCAACATTCGAGGATTTATTAATTTAAACCATCACCAAGAAGATGTAACCGCGCTGTCATTATATTTTGTCTCGATCTAATGGATAACTTTTAAATTAAACATGTAATTATAAGTAAGAGCGAAGTTATATGTGAAATATTATTATGCGTGTGCACATAACTGCAGAACTAAGATATTCTTTGTCGCATCTCAACAGTGATTTAGTAATTTAGTAACTATGTTTGAGAAGTTTCGAAGTCAATACAACCATTTTACGATCTGTCGCAGCTCGTTCTGTTGTTTATATTACAAGCTTATTGTTCCCTTGCCGTAGTTAATACTGAAATTTAGAGCTCGGCAGTAAACAAGAATTATAGCATAGTGTCAGAAGTTTATATCTTCTGGTATTCTATAATCTGAACTGTAGGTATCGATAAACTGTTTCAACTTGGCAAAAACACGTTCAGCCGCTTTGAGATTTTGGCAATAGTCCAGGACTGTCAGGTTTTGTTGCATATTAGTAATTGCGTTTTAACGAAAATCACGCCTAGACATACACTGTTCACAGCTTGTTTTGGATTCCATGTTCTACTTGGCTGAATTTGCGTATTTTGCAATTTAACTTATGAAGAGTCACACTTATGTGCGGAATCTTTCTCGTACTTTCTTACACGTTTAGTTTTGGGTTCATCAACACTGAGCGAGAAGATGTAAAACTAAAAACCGTTAATGTTAAAAATTGCCGACTCAGTACTCAACCAAAAGTCCGAGTTTAAATCTGCAGTAAATATAATCATTGGCCAAGTATCTTTCCCAGTTTATTTACGGAAAAAGTTTTAACGTGTTCATGATGTTGTTCACCAGGAGTTCACTCTTAAAGATTATAGATCGCCGCATCACTTAAGACTGGGCAAAATGGAGACTGTAAACTGGATGTATCTGTTTGATCCAGAGGGAATGCTCAAACTTCTAGAACTGGTAAAATAAACTTTTCTTTAATTTATCCTTTGCAGTACATCAGATTTAATTAAAGGAATCAGAAACACAACTAAATAAATTATATGTACCTTTGTCTCTGATCAATGTACACCATTGCTTGTCTGCTATTTGGAATAAAATTCCGATCAGTTGGTCGTTCCTTTAAGTCATATTTTACATTTCAGGCCCTTCTGTCCGCCGCAATAGCCTGTGCAGCTCAGTACCACAAAGACGACGGCCTGTCAAACCTGTCTGAGTGGGAGTTTGAACGGGCATCCCCGTTTTATGTGGTGTTCGTTGTCGGACTTGCGGTCGTGTTTGTCGTGTTTGTCAGCTTTTTGTTTAACTTGAATAAGAGGTGTGGATCACCCAAGGGATGGGCTCTGTTTGTAAGTATATCAGTGCTACTTTTTATCTCAATCTGCAAAGCAGAACACAAACTTTACTTTGTAGCGATATGCTCTACATACAGTACGTTTTAACACTGTTCTGCCATTATCTCTTAAAAGTTAGCATCGTCTGGTGTAGCTTTGAATGCGCAGCACAAGGTTCCATAGTTAATTTTAAGAATTAGAAAGATGGTCGGGTCAAAAGATGGGGGACCAGGGATTAAAAAAAAAGATGGTCTGGGATCAAAAGATGCACTTATTAAGTAGATTAGTGTATCTTAATACATGATTCCTTCGCCATTACTCACCATGAACAAGACCTAATCCGTTTTATTTTTGAACAAAAGAACAAGTCTAGCCATGAACTCATCATCAG